TTGGTAACAAGAAAAACTAAAATAAAAAATATGTTCAGTTTTACTCTGAATCAATTTTGCCCGTTGTGTCTTATTACATTCAACTTTATTGACCAACCTGCGATTAAAAGAAACTAGCTTGTAAATAAAGTCGTGACCAAATAACGTAGAGACAGGTTAAGCTAAAATAAATAATCAATTTCTATGCATAATTCCGTTTCGAATTAAATAAAAATTTCGAATGCGCTGACGCTCGCGCGGAAGGGCATAATAAACGTTGCTAGGCAAATACAAAGCAGCTGACGTATTTGAATTTCGACGGTTGACGTGAAACAGCAATATCATTATTGGAAAAGAGAGAGAGGGAGGGAGAGAGAATTTGGCCGTGGAAATTGCGCTGTTGAAATGGTTCCGACAGTCAAGTGCTGATTGCGAGAGAGGCCCAGCGCTAGCAATGCAAAGATAAGTTTCCAATCTCGCTATAGATGTCACATTTTCATCGCCTGCCAGGATCGTGCGTTTGCCTGTAAGGAACAATTATGCAAAATGAAGCCAGCAAACCTTATCATACCTTCTACAAATGTTTCCCGTTGAACGTAACCGAATAGTTGGATGGGATCTTCAGATCTGCCATGTGTTAAGTCTTTGTAGCTTGTTCATTTCTAGCCTTGACTGAACAACTATAAAGATTTTCAGCCTTGATGCTAACACTTAGGGGACTAACAGATGTTGTTTTCAAGCACGTCCTACCTAGCAGACATGCGCAGCTAAAAAATCGTCCAGCCGCATCACAAATTTACACATTCAGGGCAGCAAAAAATTTACACATACAGCTAAAAACAGGCAAACCGAAGCACCTGTCTCGGTAAACATTTGGAAGATGTTTTTTTAATTCAAGTTTCCGTAAGAGGCTCTGCATTAAGAAGAAAAATACAAATCAGTATGAATATAAGTTTTTTTTTTACTGATATTGACTCGGTAAGAACTCAGTTTAGTCTGGCTTCAGCCGTGATAACTATGTTAAAATTAAAACATAAAACCACATGACTATTACCTGTGGTATAAATTAATGATCCTGATGACATGGAAGGATATGAGTTCCATTGGAAAATATGTAATCATTCGCTATTAGCATGATTGTTTTAGTTTCTGAGCAATTGCTCGTCAAAACCATTCTCGGAGTGGCGGTAGTAATTGCAATACAAATTAGTAAATAACGGCTTAATGAAAAATCTGCGGCTTGTTTTGTTTTTTGTTTTTTGTTTTTTTTTTGGATCTGATCAGTTAGTGAAAACCGACAGTACAAAACAACAAATTAACCTAACACTTAGATGGGGCGATTTTTTAAAAGCGTACAAACTTGTCGATTGCGACTTTTGTATCGGGCGCACTCGCGCGATTATGAAAAAAATTGTACACAAATTTTCTCATAAAACATCGTCCGACGCTAGTATTATTGTCGGGTTTAAAAAAAATCCTACAACGTTTTTCGGAGCGAACGAGACAATCATTACCTTGTAATAGGCTGAAGTTAAACAAAATAATTTATGTAGACTCAGTTGTCGAATGCGACAAATAAAGCTGTATTGTTTACTAAACAACGACCCTTTAAATTGTCACGACGTATATTTTAGTTAACTTCTATTCTAATTTTACACTTATCCACGCAAACCTATAACCGATAATCAAGATTCAGTTTTTAATTTCTTTCACTCTTAGTTGCGCGGGAAACATTCCCACTTGTTCAAACCTGCTCTTTTAGACGCCTTTCAACTACCACGGGCATTAGATCAACGCTAATTCGCGTTATAAATTTACCCTTCACTGAGTTCTTCACTACTTCGAAATTTACCTCTACTCCTAATTTATGAACTACCCTTCTCCCTATAACCAATGGAGTTAACTAGTGCTCGCTGGTTATTACAGAAGCTATTACTGAATTGCTTTCTAAATCCCTTACTGGTTCTTTGGTGCCAAATTCACATATGAAGCTTCCTGTGTTGCCTGATAACATTACCTTACAATTCAATTAGGCAACTTCCTGTAATTTCGCTGCTAAAGCTAGAAAAGACTAACTAGTAAAACACTTCAACACAGAACCGAACGACTGACTGACTGACTGACTGACTGACTGACTGACTGACAGACTGACTGACGGATTGCCGACTACTAATTGACGTTCCTTCAGTGAAGAATATCATTAAAGAACGAAGATTCAAAAGATCCCGGTTTGTAGCTAGAGCACCTCTCGTCTAGCAAGCATGGTGCGCTAATATTCCCCTACAAGGCCCTTACTACAAAATCCTCCACACACTTGACCTTCTTTCCCATTCCACCCTAGTACTCTCGGCTCGCTCCGCTCGTCAATTTTCTTTTGGTCCTTTACAAGTATTTTATTGTTTTCATTTATATTTTATGGTTGGCCGTTCGTTCGAAAATCATGGCAGGGTATATAGCGTGGGTTTTTCTGCCGCGTTAACTCATTTACCTACCTTACATATCGGTTTTAATCCTGTCCCTTGAAATTACAGCTATGCAATCTCAATTGACATTGGCAATTGATAAATTACAATATTCAGAGAGGAAACCACATCAGCCTTAACTGGTTTTCACGCGGGTCCTTTATCCTGGTCGAAATGACACCCTGGGGATTATGCAAATGACAGTATAAAAGAATTTACATGTGTGTTCCACCACATTCTACTCAACCCCGTCTAACTCGATGGCTATCATCGAAAAGCTCCCTCACGCTGTAGCAGTAGAAGCAATAGCAGCGTTGGTAAACCCTCCAGCGGAGTTGGCAGTTTATAACTCCTCAGGTGGCTTGGTTTAGAAGGGCAAATCTGTAAGTAGGATACTGCCCGTGTCAGTGCTTACCTGCGTGGCGAAAGTTTTTCTACTGTTAATGCTTGAGGGGTATGTTTGTGTGGTTAAATGTCAAACTGATATATGCCGGTGTGGCGAATTCATACTGATATGGCCTGTGCGGCTTGCCTGTGTGGTCGAATTGAACCGCTAATTACTACCTGTGCGGTTTGATTTGCCTGTGTGGCGAACTTTGTCTTCAAATTATTGCCTGCGAGGCTTGGCGGTCCCGGGTTATAGGCGTAAAATATAAGAAGATATTTGATATGAATTTTCTTAACGTAGCGAGTAAAAGATTGCTTCTAACACGAGAAAATAAAATTTACATCTTCAAACCACCGCGTGATTTATAATGACATAGACAAACGGACTGTTTGCACAAATAACTGTAAAAAAGCGACAAGTAAGGTCATCTCTATCTTCACTAGTGAGGATACTCGGGCCTTTGCATGAATTTTACAAGTGGTGTATTTTCCGGTAAAACACTCATGTCTACGTAATAAAATACAGTACTTATTTCCTCGGTGTCCCAAACAATGAAACCGCGGCCATGTTGGCATCCCAAACCAATCCGATGGGAGTTGAGCTCTTTTCTTATGTATTTACATGGCTGCTGGTCACGTGACTGAAAACGCTCCACACGGCAAACTTGTTCACAACGAAAAGAAGAATTGTGATTGGCTCTCTGAGCGATCCATAAACATACCAAATATTAAAGGACTAGACCAAAATTTCCACAATACGGACTTCGCCCTAGTTCAATAACGTCTATATCTACTTCTACGAATTTGAACGAATGTAATCAGCACATGACGCCTACATCTACATCTACATTTATTAAGTTGGTAAAATCATTAAGACATCGCACCAACTAAATTGTAAAAGTTGATTATAAAACGCCCATTCCCATATCACTTATTTCACGCTTGTATTTACTTTTCGAAGTGATGAATATGAGTAGAACAAAAACCGTAGTACTTTGAAATCTGATCATGTTGGTGAAAGAACTAACTAGAAGGTATTTCCTGTCAACAAACTGTGTTATAAGAATAACAATAATAATGGATGATAATACCAGTCATCTGTGTCTCGTGATAACTGCTGTCTGAAAATGTACTTAATTAACCGACTTTGATTTATCTTTGTCTTAAAATGTCACGCCAGAATCATTGACGCTCCGAGGTCGAGTATCATCCCATACTCATCCCTTCCCTTGGCACAAACAAAATACTCAAATCAACAAGGTCAAACAACAAGTTACGCATCCGTACCGTTACGCTTTTACCTTCTTTCATGACTAATGCCGTCTGTTTATACCGATGCGTGATTTCTCCGCCAGCCAGACCACTTACGAGTGGATCATTTATATCTATTTATAGTCACTGAGTGACTCCATAAAGATTTTTCACATTCTTACGTGTTTTCTTTTCAAGTAAAAGCCATTATAAATGTTTTCAAATTTCGTTCAATATCGTTAAATAATTAGTAGTATTTCACCAGCATTTAATTAAAATCGGCCGAGGACACGAAAGTAAGTACTGCTTCTCCAAAAACTAATAACATGCACACGGCCCTAAAATCGTATATTAAAATGCCTTGGGCGATATTTCAATGACTATTGGAAATCTCATCACTGTCACGCTCATAAAATCATAACAGAGGGGTTACTTAAAGACAATTAACTGCCAAAACAGTCCATTTCTTTACGTTATTTGTTTCGTGTTACTCGCTCGCCCTTTACGGCGATTCGTGTCCAATTCAGATCCATCATATTAGCTAAATGGAACACATACATATATTTCAATGTCATTTCCAAAAGCCTTTGTAACTTAACTCCGTGTGCTTCGAACATACCCAGACAGTGAGTCACTTGGAGTTTACTCGCTGATCCCTCAGGTTTGCAAATTGTAGTGAGTATAATACACCATGTGATAAGTTAAAACTTCAAATTCTTGAAAGCCACCTATTAGCCTTTAAGGCAGTGATAATCGACAATGTGGTTTGCATGGACAGTTAAGCAATATATACATATATTAGTGCTACAGAAGTTATATTCACATATGCGCATCGCGTTCATTGAGTTGTTGTAGCATTTAGAGTCAGTTAGCAACAAATAGCAAGAAAAACACATCCAGATATATAAAACAGAAACTTACTGTAGCAATGCCGAGAAGATCTATGTAGTAGTAGTAGTAGTAGTAGTAGTATGACTTTTTGCTCTCCTATTCCACAGAAAACGGAATGCGTTCGACTCCGATTTGTGTTGCATTTGACTCGGAAATGACACAATCCAGACCACCAAGGGCGTGAACTAGAATTTACGGTCACAAATATCGCTAGTCTCGATTTCCGCCGCTTTCTCGAGTCCGATCTGCGTACCGAACAGCGGTTGGTAATCGAGTCTAAAATATCACCTAAACATCATTTGGGTGATGCATAATAGCCGAAGATTAATCGATGACCTCTATTCTCCACGCTTCCTCTTTCAAAAAATGCCGCGGGAGTCTTTGATAATCTCTTAACGAACCTTGCGTGTTGCTGAAGGTCTAAGATTAAACTGAGATTGTTTGAACGCCATTTGTTTTGTCAAATGATGACTGACCCTCGTGAAATGGTGCATGGTTTTCGAAAATTAGTTACCAGTTGAATAGCTTTTTTTTATATTTTTAATTTACCCATCTTTTACTCTCATAATTACTCATGTTCACTCCTCGGTCTTGTTTGACAGGATCGCTTATCAGCGGCTGCAATGGAGACTTCTTATCAGATTGAAAGGAGTTAGATGCTGAGGTTTCTCCGTAACCTGATCAAGATTTCGAGAGAAGTTTATTTATAACCCGCGACAAAACAGACCGTGACTAAGGGGGCACGCGAGGCGCCCGCGAGCAAGTTCGTATGTGTAAACGATGGCACCTTGATTTAACGAAGCACCAAGGGACTGAAAGGGGGCACAAACAAAACATTTGTTATATCGACCTATGACACTGGAAAACTGTGCAGGTTATACCTTTCTCTAGTTGCACATTTTATGCAGATCTATCAATGATAGTTCAGAATTCCTCTCTGTGCATATTACAAACCTTCTTAAGCCACACTGACAGTAAACTATACTGCATGTCGTAACATATATTGAAAATTGCTAAAGTAGATGCGCAATCAAAGAATTTTTCCAATGTAAAATGCTACTGTCCTTTGGTTTGCATCCGCTAAAGATGTGTCCTCCATTCAAGGAGACTGACTAACTAGTCTTGTTGACATTTACTCGTTATATTGGGCGATGTTTTGCGTTTGGGTTGTGTTCGTTATAACGACCATTCCGTTGTATCAAGGTCCGTTATAACGAAGTTCTCTTCCATACAACTCGAATGCAACTCGGTGTGCAGGTCAAGCTTTAATTCCAACTCGATATTTGTACGATTCTCGGCCCCACACAGCTTTTTACTCGTTCAGCCGCTGTTTGAATTACCTGTGACACCTTTGCCTTATCCTGTTTATCGATTATCAGTTGTTATTAAATACCATGCTGATACTGTAAACAAAGAAGGCGTAGCATATGGTGCGAAGGTCCCAACTGAAGCTTTTGGACCAAAAACAAGCACTGAACTCTGTAAAGATCAATCCCATACCAGTGTCCCCAGTATTTTGTACAGCGTATGTGTATACAAGATAGTCTAGCTTTTGTAATGTTAATGACGGTCATTATCGATATAAAAATATTTAGGATTAACAAATGTAAGCAAAGTCAAGGGATTCATAGGGTAAAATGACGTTAATTACAAACCGGGTGCGAGGGATAAACGGGCAATTTAGATATTTGCATTTTGTCGGGTTGTTTTTTAAGATTTTAACGTTGACTCGTTTCATTATCTGCGGTTTTATTTGCTGTTGAACACTAATCATTGAACAGTTCTTATCAGATGTCTGTTACATAATGGCAGTGGCAGATTGTAGTATCACGCAAACACAAAAAAATTGCAATTTATCTTCGTAGGAAATCAATAACTTTTTATGATGTGGGTCTTTTTTTTAATTCCTAAAGTTAAATTGTACCTTGCTACAGAAAAAAAAATATGCTGAAGCATTTAATATGCGGAACACGTTTCCATATCTTTGCGGGGGCTAGCCGATCATCCGACTGATGTCATCACCGATTGCCAAAATGGAAACGAACTTCGCTCAAAACAAATACTATCACTAAGCGAGGTTTATAGTGGATCAGGAAGGACTTACTGTGAATAAGGTTCCTGAGTAAACGATAAACAGCGTGCTTAACTATTCAAATAAAAAGGTTAACCGGGAACCGTAAAAAAGCGAATGCCGGTTTTATCTCAAGTTGTTAAAAGCGGCTTGTCAATCAATCGATTTCACACATCAGCCGCGCGAGCCAATGCCCGCCGCGCAAAGAAAGCAAGAAGTCACGGGGATTATGAAGGAAGCCGAAAGAGTGATATTATTATGTAAAACGGAACAAATTCATTTCGTGGAGTTTGTTTGGTTTTGTGGCCTACCCGATGGTGCAGGTGATACTGCGTTTATCTCTACAATCACACGTAACCATCTTGTTTTATGGTGGGTCATAACAACAAACAGAATAAAGCTGTACCTGTACTGACTGATACGAGTCCGAGATATTACTGAGCAATATCAACCCTTTAAGTCTACAATGTAGCGTCATGTACTGCTAGATGTTACAAGACAATCTCTTTACCTCTAATTAAGCTATTAACAAACAATCTCTAAAGCAAGACCTAGACTTCTAACCTCGTTGTGAACGTCTGATATCTGTTAGGTGAATACGGCAGCCTTCGTTTGGTGAATGATCGATGCTGCGCCTCTGTCGGAGCAAATCAATTGCTGTAGTTTAGAAGTTAGCCAAGATCCCCCTCCAGCAACAGAAAATGGATCGAAAAAAACAACCGGAATGATATCCAGGTCACACTTTATCACAATCGAATTTCGGTTCAGGAGGTTTATCCAACGTGCCCGCGGCCAACTATTAAATATTTTCTCAGCGTGGGTCCTGACATATGATAGATATAGCTAACTGCATTGATTCATGGGATAGCTGAAACAATATTGAAAAAAAATCAAAAATAATTCGGAAAGGAATGATGGCACTAATTGCCTACAAAACAGGCCCTTTCGCCTGTTGTGCTGTAGCCTACAGTGTAGCCTATAGTGAATAAATATTAAATCACTCACAACGTTGATAACAAACTCGCCAACCATCCGTATCAACGCGAACTCTTTGTAGTTACCAGACGTAATTAATCGATGAAATCGAGGGTGAAATCAATGACTTAGCAGTAAGCACTCGATGGGTAATCGGGTGATCAGTTGATTAGTCATTGATTATTGCTTGCAGATGATGGTCGATGATCAATGAGTAATTGATAAATAATCGATAGGCCACAAAAATTTTCAGTCATCGATCATTGCAGTTTGACTGCATCAAGTCGGCATTGAATAGATTCAGATTACCCATCGATGACATTGGTTAGTCATCGATATGATATCATGGCTACACAAACCATTACGAAATCGAAAATAAAGAAATAAAAGCAACGTCTACATGCCGTTTTGTTTGTTTGTTTGTTTGTTTGTTTGCTTGTTTGTTCAGTTTTTTTTTTTTTTCATAGATGGCCTATACGTTGTCATAGAGGAGAGACACGAGTCCAGTAACTAATCATTTGATTTTTCATTGATCACCGATCGATACTCACTGATGTCATGCCATCGATCATCGACTTTAGGGTAGTTACGTATTGTCTGATAAGTAATTTTAATTACTTATCAGACGATAGCTGTCGCTAGACTAGGTACAGACATGCGTACATATGTATGGCCGGTTTGGAATAAAATAGTTCTTTATCGAAATTTAGGTTAAATATCATATGACCTCAGCAGAGGGCTGGCTAGAAATTCTTGGGAATCCTCTACTCAATATGACTGTCAGTTGTTCAATTATACATAAACGCCATCTTTTCATTGTGATATCTGAGCGTCGTCAGCAGCCAGAAACAGCCTCATACAACTCACCCGGCTTATTTCATTTAAATTAAACCAAATTGATTGTAAGGCTGACACAAACATGACTCCTATAGCCATTACGTTATTTTTTACTTCGTTATACTTCTGGCTTTGACGAAGATCTCCATTTGGGATCGTTATTATGGAGGTATATCTATGACAAAATTCAATACTCAGTAATTGGTATCAAATCATCCAAATTGGACATGCATCAATCCAAAGCTGAATGGCAACAAGCCGATTCTACAAATAGTCATTACGCAAACAGGCATCACGCTAAACGGTATCAAGCAGAAAGACATCACGCTAAAAGGCATCACGCTGAAAAACATCACGCTAAAAGACATCACGCCTTAAAGGCATCACGCTAAGAGGCATCACGCGAAAAGGAATCACGCACACAGCCATTACGCACACAGACATCACGCTAAAAGGCATCACGTGAAAAGCTTTGGATTGATGCATGTGCAATTTGGATGATATGATATCAATTACTGAGTATTCAATTTTGTCGTAGATATACCTCCATAGGTTATGTTTAAACTTAAGGTGTCGTTGTGTCATATTTCTAGTAACGTGCGTGTATTAAACAAGGGTTCCGGCAACAGTCACGTCAGGCAGTTAAATTCTTCGTTGGGCGGTTTTAGGTATAAATTTATCTATTCATTTTCATTTTCAATCACTCAGTTTAATCAGTGAGCGCCACGAAGAATGCCGGGCCCGGGGATGCCGGGGAACAAGCAGTAGGTCCAGTAACGAGAGAAAATAAGTAGTTGATGGCAGGGCCAGACCCAACTGTTTCCGCGGTCTACGTCTAAGAGTTGCTAAGCAACCTATTACGCCATGATCTCGTGACTGTGCGAAACCTTCGATTCGTAGACGTACTAGCATGGGTGGCAAGCATTAAACGAGGGAGGGGAAGGCGGAGCGCGGCAGCACAGGCTACAGACGTACTCGAGGGACGTCTGCGAAACGACTCAGGCTTGCGCAGTAAAAAGTGGGAAACTTTAGCAGTGTTTCAATGACGACTTGACCGCACTTGTCTTCATCAATACAGTCATGGTAGACTCTGGTTTCCCATTTCAACATTCCAGACAAAGCTGTAATCCTTTTAAATAAAAAATGCGAAAGCCTGTCGGCCTATTATAAAAAAAGAAAATCATTAAAATACAATGTGAATCTTACTGAATCTTACCATGAAAAACGTTGAACAATAGTTAATAATGATAATAACACTGAGTGGAGTCCAGTTCGGTCTATAATCATACGAGTGATGAACAAAATCGGACGACCGCGAAGCGGGAGTCCGATTTAATAATCTTGAGCATGATTACAGACTGAATTGGACGACCCGATGTCTTGTTACCAATTAATCATAACCATTACAATTCCCCACTATTTAAAAAATAACTTTTAATAGTCATTTTTAAATATCATAATTAAGAATATGGGAATAGCTTGGAAAATGGCTGTTAAGTTTCTTTCAAAACAGTCACTGGAAACTAAACCTTCACAATTTTACAAAGTCAGTCTCTTGAATTGGTTAGTATGGCGACTGTAATCAATGTTGTTATTGATTTAGTGGAGAGGACTTAAAATGATTGGCTCATGTAACTGTCCGATTAGAGGAGTCCAATTACAGCCAACTGTCCGATTACACTGTACGATTACAACTTTGCAGATTAATTAGATTAAACTACACCAG